GCTAAAACCCCTGGGTCAAGAGTACATAGATGTATGTTAAGTATATATATTAGATAATACGAATACTCTCAAATAAAATGTTCAAAACATGCCAACTATTCATCATTCAATCATTCATAATCAATGCAAATTCCTTTCCAAAAAGCAATTTGTTACTATAGGTAGACCTCACTGCTCTACCACATGTGAGCACTATGACACATGATTGAGGATTACTAACCTGGCAGAAGAGATATGACACATTCCCAAAATTGGTTTAAATGCAGAACACAGATTTCAGTCAACCAACCCATGGCATCAAACCAGACTGCTTCAATCTTTCTAACTATGCTTCTTCTCTGTAAAGACGTCTGTATGTCCTGAAGTGAAGTATGATGAAGACTCAACGGTTTCAGGTGTTTCATTGATCAAAATCTTCATCACTGGTTTGTAATAACACTGCTACATGTTCACAGAGGGTATTTATTTTACTCCATGCTGACAGGCTAATGGAAGTTGAAGGTGATGGCTCTATTATGATTGTGATTAGAGTTATGATTATGTTAATAATATTTAATTGACGTTACCTTAGGTGATTAGGTTACATTCACCAGCAAATGCCTGTGGATATTACCAATCAAGATATAGTACATTAAATACAGTAATAGACGTTAGTACTATTTTGGGACCCATCAGATGAGTATCACAGGTAGTATCACAATATCAAAAAGTCTGGATGGAGATATGGAGATCAGTCTCTGCTTAGGATCCCTTTTACCTCTGCATTATTACTGGCCGTTTCTTACACACAGTATGTATACCAGTGAGATTATCAGTGGATGTTTTGTCTGGAAGATTTCATGTTGATTATAAAATCATATATTTCCAAAGAAGTTAGTTTAATGCACTCTGCACAAACATTTGCAATAGATGAGGAAAACGTGAAACACCACAGTATATTGTACCTTTATTTATTCAGTTTCAGATTCATCCTGTGGGTGGCAGCATTGTTTCATGTGACAGCACAAAGATGGAAAAAGCTGTATGGATCCTACAGAGTGTTTTGAATGCCAATAGCTCACCTTTGGTCTGAATGAGAATGGGGTCATGGATAAAGACACAGGCTACACAGATAGCTTTTAATTTTCTATGTATGAGGATGTGGAATATATAATCATAGGGTTTTACAGCCCTCTCCACATTTAATTCAGTAGACATTTAATGGAATTTGTATACCCAAAAAGCCCTACTGAACACTTTTCAGTTCATAATCTGAGTTGTTATCATTTGGAAAATAAATTCACATTCATTAACTGAAGAAAATGAATTTGAGCATGACTGTAGGTTTGTCATGTTTGAACAAAGTTTGTTTTCAGGAGGCACTATTCATACATGTCACACATTTTCTTCTCAGATAAAGTGCAAAATGACATTACTTTCACTGAAGAAAAGTACAAAAATAAAACCACATCATAAACTCCTCACACTGCAACCTGTGGACAGTGGTGAGGTGGATTGCTACGATTGAGCAAAGAAAAATTCAAATATTTGCAATCTGTTCATGAATGTTAAAAATCATCCTTATAATGTAAAGTTTCTACTGCTATAAGTACTTCGGCATGGCCTTTAGATAACTTGTGTTATCATATGGAAAGCAGGGTGTGATCTTGTGAATTATGTAATTGAGAAATTAGAACAATAATATCCCACCTCATACGAAACACCCTCAGACCGCAACACAGTTTTCTCCCCCATTGCCATTCTGCTCGCTGATTGGTCCAAATAAAGGGGGCGTTCGAATAAACAAGCGCTTCGAGCGTTTTCATTGGCCGTCGTCCCGCCACTCAAACTGTTGCCTGGTGATCTGCTTGCAGCTTGTCAACCGCACGATCCAGTTACTGTAGCTGCCTGCTGCAATGAAAATATCTCCGTTGGTGGGTGGATATATCGGCCCAGTTCCATCATTTTTCCCCCAAACAGTGACTGAGTGAGTAGTTTGATTTATCATTATAAAGATAAGAATTGTAGGCTCTAAGTGTAATGTGAATATCTTCTGTAAAAGCTCACGAGAAAAGGCAACGTTTACAAAGCTTGAGGTTTGTTTTGAGCTAATTTGCGGTTTTGTATGTTTTTGTATGTGAATCAGGCATAACACCAAGGCAACACAACTAGCTTACTTATAACGCAGCGTTAACTAACCAGAGTCCGGCCAAATAACTGTTAATGTGAGGCCATTTGCACTAAGTTGGCTTGAGTGTAGCCATATGTTGGACTTGTTGGATTTATTGCTGCTCTGCATTGAAAATGTGGGAGCTACAGTCATTCTGTGGGCAGTCGTAGCTAACACACACACACACACACACACACACACCACAGCCCAGTACAGACACACATTTGACAGCCACATTTCGCCCTCCTGTGTGTGTTTGCTGCTGTTAAAGATGTGAGAGGTTTGTGACAAGAAGCAACAGGACATTGTATGACACATGTTCACATAAACAGCAATTGTTTTCACATGTTTTATCATAATGCAACATTTTACCATAAATGTAAGTGTTTGCTGGTTGTTGCTGTTATTACAAATTTTTTGGAGTGCCCAAAAAAATGTGTATGCAAGTTTCCCTAAAATGGCAGTGACGTTGTAAGCTACATCCCTTGTTTTTGCCAAATTCTTGCCACTATGTCTCATTTGAATGACCGTAAACCAAATCCAGGCATAGATAATAGTGCATTGATCATATGAGGAGGTTTAAAGGTCGTGCATTTTAAATTCCACAGGCTCAGTCCATTACCACGCATGAGTCATTCTGTTGATAGAGACAAAATATAGGATCCACAGCAATGCCCAGTGCATTCCTGATCATATTAGCCTTCTAGGTCTGGGCCTGGAGAGTAGTTGGCTGAAATCTGCTCTGGAAAACAAAAGGCTGCATGCCACTGCATGTAGGCTGTGAAATGAGGAGAAGGAAGGAGGACGCACGTTAACACACTCGTGTTTAAATAGAACAGATGACTGAAAGCATTTTCTCCGTGTTGCTGTTTTGTCTCGTATCGTCCTCCTCACGTTTTCCTTCACTTGCTGTCAGTTTACCTGTGCTGATGGTGTTCGGCTAAGTAAGATAAGGGAGTAATAGACCACACAGCGGCGTTAAGTGTTCTGGGAGACAGAGTTTATTTTGGTGCCGAGGTTTTGCATACTGATGAGCAGCTCCTGTGCCCACAGCACCGTAGGAGACTGGGAGTGTGAGTAGGCTACGCAAGTCCTTGAGCTTACCAGCGAGGAGAGGATGAAATGGAGAAAGTGGTATCTGGAGTCTTATCTGATTCAATAAGAGTAAAGAGTGTGTGGATACCAGAGGAGATTCTTTGAGCACATTAAGAGATTACGTGGTACTGTTTCACTCGCTGAGAAAAAGGTAGGAATACAGCAAGGAACTTTGCATCAATTAATGGCATCTTTTTCCTTTATTTTCATAAGGTATAGTAAGCTATATGTATGTATACACACCTTACTTATGTTAAAGGGGCTCTCCACTGATTTTAAACATCAAGGTCGGTTAACTCATCATTGACAGTACTGCTCAGCCTGTGAAAACAGTTGTGTGAAGTCTTCTGTGACTCTAGTGGGAGCTTTCTAAAGTCTGACGATGCCATCAGGGTCATTCAGTCATCAGGAAACCTGTGTTATAAACTGGAGGCATAGAGTTTGACAGATGAAGGGAAGGTAAAATACCTTAAAGATGCTTTTAAATTTCATTCTGGCATTTGTAGGACCCAGTGTTTCTGAAGAATGACCTATACTAGGGACTTAAAGTCAGGACTGAAGTACAGCTGGCCACCTCCAACAGCTTAAAAAGTCACTTTATTGAGATTTAGTGAGGAATGTTTTTGAAGAGGCCAACAAAACAATCAAGTTGACATATTGTGAATCCATTTCACAATTTCTCGACTGGTTTTGGCACTTAACTATGATCTATCTATCTATCTATC